GGGCGGGGGGGGGGAACCGCCCCCCCGGACCCCCCCCCTCGAGCCAGCGCGTGGTCTGCTAAGTCATAATATATGTACTTTATTTGTAAAAATCGATATCGTTCGAGCCAGGCAGGGGGATACACAAGCACCAGAGATATGCTCTGATTTACTGTAAGAGACAGGTGTCGATGGTCATGATGCTGCCCTGCGATGGCGACGTTCCGAGACACAGAGAGACAGAGAGATATGCAAAAAATAAAAAAAACAAGGAGAGAGATACGCCGCCTTTTCTGTCCTCGCCGCTATTCGCTATGCGTACAATGCATAGTCCGTGGTTGGACACACAGAATGGAAACCATGTACTTGTGCAGTACTGTAGTAGAACTTGCATGACAAAAAACTCGCCTCGTGGTTGATGCTTCGCCTCCATTCCTTGGCCTGCTCTTCAGGGTCGACTTTCCGGTGCAGCAGTCGGCGCATGTTGGTGAAGTCGAAAGGAGCACGCTCCGACTCTCTCTGCCAGCAGGCTCCTCGCTGCTGTAACCAACTACTTGCAGCAGCTCTCAAACGACCGCCACGCTGAGATCGCCTGTCAAATCCAACAGAACCCTTCACCTCAGAAACAGAGACAACCAGTCGCCTAGCCCGTTAGAGCGAAACCGTGTCGGCTGGAGAGATCGGGGTCAGGCGAACAAGCAAGTGTGCCGTCGAGGCAGGAGGTGGACGGGGTGGTGGAACTTTTGACAGGGACTTCGCAGATTGTACTTTAACGCATTAGGCGGGTATGTGGGTCCGAATGTGCTGATCGTCCGGATTCAGGAATAAATGTTCGGTCCGCACATGGTGTGCTCGCACATTCGTGATTTCATCCGATTCATCACACAGACACTTTTTGTGCTCTCTTAGTTTCTTCTTTTCTGGCTGCCGCAGGCAGCAGGCTCCCCGAAACCAGCGAGCACACTGACAGTCACGCCGGGACGGAATAGGCTAGGAGAGAAAGCCGGCACAGCTGCGCCAGTCGGATCGCGACACTTGAGCGTTCTTTCTGAGGTTCGGTAACGTGCAAGAATCACAGCAGAGCTACAAGCTGGATTGATTTTCCGGCGAACGGTCACAGGGGAGTGAGAGGCAACCTGCTGCTCCGCTGCTGCCTGCTCTTCGATCAAGGTGTGCTGGATTTGGGGGTGAACTCACTGCTGTTTTTGCTGCCGGCGGTCCCTCTAGTTGGCAGCTTCCCGCTGTACGTGTGGAGAGAAATGGCTTCCGGGGTAAATACGAGGAGAGCAAAATAAACAAGTCAGTCTCGTCAATTGGATTCGTGGAATATGCGAATGCATTCCCCTTTTGCCTTGGTGCCGTTGCCACTGCTTGCTCGGCGGTACGTTGGGGCGTTGTGGTGCTCCTCTACTGTAGTCAACGTACACGTACTTACAACGGACATAGGTATGTAGCCCGCCGCTTGTCGTAGACACACCACAGAAAGTGGGGGAACCTCAACCGTCCGCTGTTCTCACTGACGATTCGATGCTGCGGTGAGACATGCCGCAGAACAAGTAGTGCTGCTGTCTCGCACGCCCATGGAAGAGCATGCAGCCCATGTACATGAGTCAATGTTCCCTTCTTTGGTGGAGACTGCTACTGCTACTGGTGTCGTGCCGCAACGGGAGGCCGTTGGGAATGGGCTGGGTAGCATGTCTCCGGGATCACCTCTTGTGCCCTGGTCTGGGGGGAAGTCTCCCGTCAGTCACCCTCGCGCGACTTCCTTGTCCGATGATTTGCTGGTTTTTGCACAATGCGGAGGATGTCAAGTATTGTTCGACAATTTGTTGGTTCCAAAGAATGCAACCACAGGACACCCTCGTATCGGTTGGAGAGAGAGAGAGAGAGAGAGAGAGAGAGAGATCGGCGGGAGGTACAGTAGTGTAGCAGCAGCCTCGGCAGCGTGAAAAAGCTTGTGAGGTGTCTCAAATTCCGATCCATGTACAGCAGGTATCCATGATTGTAAGTGTACCAGACAATCATGTGATGAAATAGCGCAATTGTTGTTGTTGTTGTTGTTGTTGTTGTCTTCACAATGCGCAATGCGCTGTACTGTTGGAGGTTGAAATTTCCAAGAGTCAAATTTCGTGTTTTCACCCGCGGTTACCTACAGGGGATTGTTCATTCAACTTCATCACGGTGCTGTCCATATGCCTATCGTGCTGCTCGGGGAACAACAGACACGCAATGCATGTGTCGCTATTTTATCCGGGACTCTACAGCAGTACAAGAGTGTATAGAGATTGCAATTCCTTGTGTTCTCGTAAGAAAACAAGGAAAAATGATGAAACATGCTTCGGAGTCATGTACAGCTACTGCTGTGCCTTTGACGCATTTGCGAGGTGCTCTTGCGTCGGTGAGCACGTACCACAGCAGCAGGTTGGAGTTTGAAGAAGTCGAAAATCATCTCGTATCAGGTATATTAGTAGATACATCTGCGCAAATTTGCATGCTTTTGGCGTATTTACCGGTACGTGAATACCGATTGTTGTTGTTGTCTTCACATTAAAAACCGTTCCGATCTCTCTCTACCAGTACCTTCGTATGTCCGTACTGATCCAACACTCGACGCGGTCGATTCCCGTGGTCACAGGTTAACTTACCCAAAAAGGTACACTCAAATAAACTGGCCCCGAGGGGTCCGCAAGTCAATAGAAATCAACGACAGATATTCTGGAATCCTCCACTCCCTCTGCGCGCTATACGAGGCATCAACTGAGACCAGGAGTCACTATCTATCATGGGCCGGAGAGAACGAGGTACACCCCCTTGGTTCAATCTTCGTACTTCACAACGCAAGCAGAGACAAGGCCATCTGGCACAGAAAAAGAGAGAGAAAAAAAGAAAAAAAAAAAATGGAAACAGTAAGAAGAAGAGAAAATAAAAATGAAAATAAAATGAAAAAGAGCGAGGACAAAAAGTGACCAGGCCGAAAATAACAAGAAATAAGAGGCAGAAACAGGCACACGGTGGAGAGACCACTAACGAACAAGCAAACACGCAAACATGGCCCAGCACCAGGTCAACATGTTTTCTGCTGGGCACGGGCATTGTAATGGTACGTCATCACTACTGGGGGGTTGGTGCAATGGTTTAACCGATTGCAAGATGGCAAAGGTACTCTGTCTTTCGGTAGGCAATCAATCCATATAGGTCGGTATTTTTCTTTATCTACGGGCTTTGTTGTGGTTGCTAATTACGTATTCATTCGTGGGCTGTTTCACCCAAGATAATGCCACTGTTGCTGTAAAGGTACTCTACATCATGCGTCTACTAGAGAGGAAGCCGAGACATGAACTGACCGAAGGGCAAGCGAACTCATACAGCAGAGCAAAGTAGAAATATACATAGCATTATATTATTATAGCATCACAGAGTAATGGTGAAGCACAGGAAATACGAGTGACTGGACTCGTGCGCGTTTCTCCACGGCAGCAAGAAGAGTGGTGGCACCGAAAATGTCGTCGAGAGCTTTCCGATGACGTACAACGTATCGCATTTTTTTTATCCTCTTAGTCCTGGGGTAGTGTGTGCATACATGCATACGGTACTCGAGCTTTGCAAATCAATCCCGGGGGTGTGATATCTTATGTCATCTAACGTTGGAAAAGTCTTCGTAAGTTCGTCAGGGGCAATTGCTTGAAGTCTTTTGCAACCAAAAAGTATATACGCGCAGGACGATTTTCAGGCACGTTGCTACAGGGTGATTGATTTTTCCCGGTCTCCCCGTGTCCCTATTTAGATTGACCGACCGTACCCCAAGCTCCTTCCCACTCCGTCTGGTTTTCGTGCTTTCGTTGCTATACTGCTTGCGAAAACACGTGCTTTTCTCGATGGTGGCATCACGTAAGGCCCGACAAATGTCTCTCTCTCCACGTGTTGTGTCCCTCTGGTCGCCACTTTTGCCGAACGTTTTTTCCGCGGCGCTTATTGTGCGGCACTCGGAACATACACCAGCGAGGCTAATTTGCTAATTTTCTTTTACACGGCAGCGGCAACAACAGGGTATCGAATGCCCAAATTGCGCGGGACCGGCAAGAGGGGGGCGGTCTCTGATTGCCGCGGCCTGGACGGCGGCGATGGCAACAACGGGCGGCGGTTCTGGGACAGCGGCCTCTCGGTCGTCTTGCTCGCGTGCCGTTCGCGGTTTCTGGCGGCGACGTGCTGCTTTTGCGTTGCCGCCGTGCTCCTCAAGAACACCGTCGGGCAGGCGAGAGCCTGGTCGCGCCTTACTTCCAGCTCTTCGTCAGCGTCAATGCGGGAGGGCCCGACAGACGCAGAGCTTGAGGCCATGATCACGTACCCCCTAGATGATGGCGGCCCGGGGCCCCGGTGGGTACCCCCCGACGAGAGGCCAATACCCCTCATGGCGTTCCCCAGCCTGAACGGCCTCCAGTTCAACAAGAAGGGGCACCTGAGACCGGTTGAGCCACACGGTGCGCCACCGGTGGCTGGGAGCTCGAATGCAAGCAGCGACGAAGGTGACAGGGGAGCAGTAGCAGCTGCGGCGGGGGCCGAGGTAGGCACGACGCTGTTGTTCATGCACCTGTGGAAGTGCGCCGGGTCATCGCTGAGGCACCTGTTGAGGGACTGGGCGGAGGCTAAGGAGCAGGACATCGGGATCGTGGTCAGGTGCACCGACGTCGTGTCCAAGGTGCGATTGCGATGTGTGCGGTGTCGCTGACGTGGGAAGGGTAGTCGGTGGGTGGTTCTGAGCCCAGAGAGTCCATTGCCCACGCATCCCGTCTGAGATCGGAGCGTACCGATGCCATCTCTGATTGGCGGACCCTGTTTCTCACCTCCTGTGGGTACTGTCTCTCCGTGGCATCTACCTTGGTAACGTTGGAGCTACGTTCTTCCGGTGCCCTTCGTTGGTTTGGTCACCCGTAATCTCCGCAATCTCCGTTTAATCCCTTCGGATCAGCGTCGTTTTCTCTCTGCCGTCTATTTTGGTTTCTAAACTTACAATCCACCGTTGCATGGATGTGTGCTTGTATGCTTGGCGGGCGGGCTATTGCCTGGATTGGAATGTTGGGGTGAGGTAACCTGGCCAAGTGGACGGAAGTGGTGGTCACCAGCGAAAGACAGAGAGGGAAGAGAGTCGGTCTGCTCTGTGAGCGTAGCTGTTTAGCAAGATGTCGACACCGAGAAGACGTTTTTCCTTCCCGATGTTCTTTGTTTGGCAATGGTTGATGTTTCGGGCCTTGGCTGGGCCATGGCGAAAGGACAATAATAATTGGATGGAGATGTCCGTGAGGCACGAAAGTGTCTTGGTTTGTTGTTTTTTCATCGCATGTGACTCGTGTAGTGCCTGGGATGTCCGTATACGCGAATGGTCTGTTTCCGGCCGGTTGTTTTTCCTGGCCTGCTGCTGTGTGACCGTGATTGCGATTGATTGCCCCGTCAAGCAACATCGTAGGCCTTCATTAATAGGACTTATCACTTCGGTCGATCGTTCCAGGCGCATGTCGATAGGTGAGATGTCCAGTCGATAACGAAACAAGAGCGTCTTTCTGAAAACGTCCTCTCTTCGTTTTCTCCAATGCCTCTTCTTTTCGCCGTTATTTGTGTCCTTGTTTATTTCTCCATCTATTCGTCTATGTGCAGACCGGGAAAATTTGCTTAAAGCACCACTCTCTCATCAATGAGAGGTTCCAAGCGCCTTTCATTCGGCTACACCAGGTGGTCGCCGGGCACTTCACATGGGGTGAGCAGGGCGTATGCCGTCTGGAATGATGTCCATTTGCTGGAACTCTCCTGCACCTGTCCAAGGAGACGTACACCAACCATCGGAACATGCAATCTAATGGTGGCGACCATGTTGAAGCCATACGAATTGTGTAGGCCTGCTTTCGCTTTTGGCTGTCAGGGGTACTCGCAGTACCTGCCGTTTCGGCCCAGGAGAGAACCCGAGAGGGGTGCTGACGACGTGGTCGAAAGCAATGGTTGACGGAAATTTCCAGAGGAAACTTCCTGGATACACCACCAGAGTACAGTTATTGCCCGAGAGTACCTTGACCCCGACGGATAGAACGCGTCCGTTCGACCTAACACTAACCCTAAAAACCTAACCCCAACCCAACCGACCCGACCCAAACCTATGGCATTTGAAAGTGCTAGGTCACTGTACCAAGCAAGCCTAGGCCGCACCGAGCGGCGGCGCTAGGTTGCTGCACGGCGAAAAAGTTAGTTTGCTGTACCGTTCGCGGTCTAGGTTGCAGCTGTCCCGTTTAGGCTAGGTTGCTGTGCATCGTGAAGGCTAGGTTGCTGTGCACCGTTAGGGCTAGGTTGCTGTATGGTAAAAAGCTACCGTAGGTTGCATATGATATCACAAACCCTGGACCGATTTTCAAAGCTCGATTACTTCACGACGAAGAGGACGCCGAAATCTAAGGATATGATTTCGGAAACTCTCGACGAGACGGCTCCAACGCCGCCATTTTCGACACCGTCACGTTTTTTCTTGCCGAGAAATCGACCTTCGAAAATTGGTCCAGGGGGTGTGATATCGTACGCAACCTACAGGTAGGTTGCCGCGCAGGGCTGCACCTACCCAAGGAATGTTCCGAGAAATGGTATTCCGACATGGAGACCACTTCTTTCGACCAAGCCGTCTGCACTACTGAACCCGACGCTTCTTGTTTGCTCGTACTTTGGAGTATTATGTTCCTTGTTGAGCAGAGCACCCCAATTTTTCCGTGTTTTGCGGGAGGGTTTCATGTATGGGTCGAGAAATTCCACTCAACCCTTCTTGTTAGATAATCCTAACCCCCACGTCTTGTGACCCGACGCCAATTGGTCGAGTCAAGAGTACGGCGGTTGTTCCGCAACACCAGAAATCAATCGGGTTCTGCCCGCTTATCCGGGATAGGGTTGGAACACCGGCGTACTTTTGACTTTCGTTATGTCATCGTTTCGGTTTTCGAGAAGCAAGCTCAGGACGCGGTGATTGCCGCCCTGGCAAAGAGAGGTTCAGGGAAGGAGCCCGGCTTGCTTTTTTACGTTGGTTCGTCGTTCCTGAGCGCACTCGCTACAATCTTTTTCGTTTTCGAACTTTTCGAACATGTCAGGTTTTCAAAACCATGTGCGGCAGCCGTACGTGATGTTTACCACCCTGAGGAACCCTCTAGAATTGTTCGTGTCGGGACAGCAGTACCTCAACCGCAAGGCGTCGCGACATTTCGCTCATGTGAGTAAATAGTTTTCAGGTTGCTTTCGGGAGGAGTCTTGTTGCAAAGAAGGAGGATATTTGGTTTCGAGGGACGTGTGGGCAGTCCGATGGGGCTTTCTCTTCGACACTTCGTTGTTGTCGTTTTTTTCGCCGGGCTTATCATCTTCAGGGAAGGAGTTTGAACTTTTTCCTCGGATTGCGTTGGTGCTTTCAAGCTGCCATCCACAGCAACAGCAGCAGCAACAGCCGTAGCAACAGCAACAGCGGCCTCTACACACTCAGGATGACCGTCAGGACTAGGCTATTATAATTGTTTTGGCCCATTCCCAATGGTTGCCATGTTGACTGCGCTGTTGCCCAGTGCGTCTCGTTCGTGGTTCCCGTTGTTTTTCTGATCTGATATATTCTAACGAGAATTTTGTCTGGGTTCGGTTCGGTTTGCAGGCGGTGTCTCTGGTGGAGGATACCATATTACGTGCGATCAAGCAACACCAACTGAGGGGCGATGTAATGGTGCCAGAGGGAATGGGCAACACCAAGAGCGTGGGATTCATATACCGCTTGGTTGACCCCGTCCAAGCAAATTCGACCCAAGAGGTGGGATACCGCATTGCCACTTCCTTTGGGACGAATTGGAGGACGTACACCCGTGGGAAATAGCCTTGGTTCTCCTGTTTTGGTCTTTGATGCCGATGTTGCCTGTCATACGAGTACGCATCGTAAATCGTGGCCACCGTGCTGTTTTTTATGGCTCTACCAAGTACCACGAAGTATGGTTTTCGAGGGCAAGTCTCGCTCGGACCCCGGTTGCCGCCGTAGTTGAGTTTTTTTTTTGTGTGTACTTTTGCTGACCGATATTTCGAACTCCGCTTCCGAGAATAAGCAAGTGAGGGAACAGTCTTGAGAGACGAGTACAATAGCTGGTCCCAGATTTTTTGTTTTCCCGTGCCCGTTATTTTTCGCATCCCGTGTTTGTTGTGCTTTGCTACCATAGTCGCGGTTTCGTTGCCACCTGGCGTGAGACGTGCTGAAGCTATTTTCTCCTTGATAAGGAGCGAAACAACCCACGATGTGGTTTTATTGGTTGCGTCGAAGCGGTACTTCTTGTCCGCATTCCTCTGGACCATGTTGATTTCGCCCTTTTCCAACAACCGTAATTTACTGTAATGATGTATTGTAGCGTTCGGAAAAAATCCTTTCATATGGACCAATGCGCTCTTCGACGATGTATTTTTTATCGGTGTCATATGATGTGTTCGTGTTCTTTTTAATGGTTTCAGGGGTTGGTTGGAGGAAAGACACTATCCGCGGGTGCACAAGAGGCGAAGGACAACCTCGACACCTTCTGGCTCGTGGGAGTGATCGAGCAGTACCAAGGGTTCATGGCGGTCCTACAGGCCATGATGGACCCAAACAAGAGGTGACACTATGATGAACGCCGTTGGAGGTACGATTTGGGGATCAACAGTGCGGTGCGTTTTAACCATATTTTGACGCCAAGAGTAACATGCCGTTGACCGTGTTGCCTGATTTTGGGGAACAACAGCCTCGCGGTATGCTGTATTCAGGTTTCTCTGGATGAAGGTCAACCTCATTCGTGAGGCTACCCAGAACAGCAGTTGCCAAGGTGGGAGTCTGTACTACGGTATCCTTCTGTACTGTCGTTCTGGACGATCCCTCTATACTACAAGTATCGGTTGGGTGCTGGCTTTGCACTATCCGTCTGTACTACCGTTCTGGTTTGTAGTGGCGGGGGTGTCATATCTCGGTGGGTACCACAGCGTCGTTGCCGTTGTGATGCGCCCGCACCAAAGGGAAGTAACATGACTTGACTTAGCTGATGGGTGTTGCATTGAGTGGTTCATCGCTACTGGGGCCGTGTGCGGGGCAACTGGTCGTACGCAATGGCAGTCGTTCTCCGGATCCCCTCTCTCTGAACACAGTGGCACACCTGTTTTTTCTCGCTTTTCTTGCCCAGCGAGCGCGACATGTGGAAGAGGTACGCAGTGGGAAAGTACAACACGTCTCCTCAGGGGGCAGGGAAAGTGCTGGCAGCAATCGACCCGGCCCTCGTGCAAGAGTTCAATGAAACCTTGAGCCACCAGTGGGAGGTCTACAGCTACGCTGTCGATTTGTACAAGCACCGGTGAGAATCGTGATTCCGTTCCATCATGGTAGCTTTATGTTGCTTGTGTGCGTTCGTGCCACAGGTTCGGTGGTGTGCACTACTTTGCGTGGCTGCCACCAGGTTGGCGCTATTGTACAAGCTGACCGAACCCTGCCCTTGCACCTTGGTTGCGACTGGGAATACGTCCTCTTTGGAACCCGTGTGATCTTGTCGATGCAGGTGTCACCAGATGCTTCACACCAGAGACTTGGACATGTGCGAGGTTCCTGTCGCGCCTTCCCAGTACACCCTCACCGAGCTTGAGCGAGAATCACTTTACCAGGAGATGCACCCGGAGGAGGTCAGTTTCAACGCCACCGAAATGGTTCGCGCCCAACATCTCTGGGACGAATTCAGGGGCGAGGGGTCGACGATTAGAAACCCCCGTGAGGCGGAGGCGTTGGCCTTCTTCGAGCTACACGGGTTCGATTTCACAGACCCGGAAAAGAGGGACAATTTCGTGTCGAGGCTCCGGATTGGGATGCCGACTTTAGCGCTGGGAGAGGACGTTTTCGGCTCGGATGATCGCACGCCTGAAGAGATCGCGGCGGCAGCAGCGACGGAAGAACAGGGGGGCGAGGACGTCAAGATTGGAGGCAATGTAGAAACGGATAGGGGAGCCGGTGCTGTCATGGTGGATGCAGTAGCAGGAGGTGAACTGAAGCGAGAAGAGCAGAAAAAGGAGGGAAGGGAAGACCCCAACAAGTTGGACCAAAAAGCAGCCGGTGTTACGGAATCCAAGACGATGAACAGGTGAGCCCCTCCGAGGTTCGGAAGACTTCAGAGAAGTCGGAGAGGGCGGCCGCCACGTGAAGATCACCGTTTCGATTACCGCCACGGTTTCACTGTGGACCATCAGGGAACGGAGGAATGCACAGCCGATTCCGGATTTGACCGCGTTAGATGCAGCGGAAAGATCATAGACTAGGGATCAGCGGGGCCGCTTGCTACGAGATTCATTGCCAAAACCACCGGATGGGTTTGGTGGCGGGAATTCACGCATCGGAAGCGCTTCTTCTCTTCCTCGGGTCAAGATTTGAGTGTATTTGAGTTGGTGCACCCGGGGCGAATTAACTCCCGTCCGTTCAATGTGGGTTATTTGTCTTGGAGGGCACGCATGCAACCCGCCTTACTTGTCGTTGGCTTGGATTCGACTGCGGAGCAATATAGTGGTGAACACATATATTCTTGTCGTGTTAACTCCTCTGTAATTGTAGTTTTAAATGACTCGCAACTTGTTATTATAATGAAGTTTTGTCTATTTCGTCCCATTGATCCTTGCACACATAAAATAGAGTGATAGTTTTTAGCTCGACTACGGGCAGCAGCCCGAACATATGATTGTCTTGTGGGTCCTGTTGTGAATCGTCGGCAGGGTACGTATGCGTATGTAATATATTTTGTCGTTGGTGGTGTGGTTTCATGCCTCGATGGAAGAGGTAATTAGCACAGCTTGTTGGAGGTTTCATGTGAGAATTTTTCGTGGCGTTTTTTTTTTTCGAACGTTTGGTCGTGCTGAGGATCGGGTGAGTTCAAGGAAACTGCATTGCTCCGTTAGTTTTTGGATGTCGTGTACGCACTCTGTACTCCTGATGGTCTTGGCCCACGCCTTGTCTCGAACGCGGAGTGAATTTTGTTGGGCATGTCGACAACACACATTTGTGCCCCAGTCGGGGGTTTAGGTTCGGGTTCTGGCGAGACAGATTTAACCTACGGTATATACCTCCCGATTCCCAGATCGACAGATATTTAGTTGTGTGTTGTTGGTGTGCGGTATGTAGGTGTGACAAGGACTGACGTGAGATAGTCTGGGATGCCTCGCCGAGAGACTGACCTGATGGCGGCAGCACCGGCAATGGTTTCCCTTGGAAAACGATACTACCATAATAGTTCTGCGTGATGCACACGTTCATGTGATCCTGGTTGGCGGTGTTCATTCCTTCCTTGCTCGTTCGAGCTTCTGGGTCGAGCAAACCGCCGACAGCGCGCGTACATCCCTTTGTGAGGATGGATGGAAACCGCAAGGCCTTGCTGTTGGGTGCCGGCAAAAGTACTGCTACAGCGTTGTTGGTGGGTGGCTCTCGCGGCAAGTTCGCCTCGGCGCGGCATGATGGTATTGTGAGAGGTCAACGCGCATACACATCAGCTTCACAGGCATGTCCAACTACGATGCCAAGGTTTTATTAGTTTTTCCAGACGGTGATTTCCTCAATCGACGTCAAAGTCGTCCTCGTACATCCCCGTGGCTGCCTCGGAAGCCTCCCCATCCAACTTCTTGCCAGCAACACCGCCTCCCCCATCGGTGCTTTCTTGCATTGCGGTCATATCCCAACTCACGGATAGTACTCCTTCTCGGTAGTTGCCGCTCTTTCCTTCATCGCCCGCAGTTAGCAGCGGCGCTGTTGTTGACCCTAATCCCGGGTCGGGGCCATTACCCCCAGTCTCGAAGTCTACGGCAGCAGCGGCAACCTTTGACTCCTCGGGAGAGAGGCTGCGTTCTAGCGATGGTCGTAACTTCGCGATCAACGCCGCCATCGCGCTCTCTGTCTCCTCGAGCGAAAGCGGAGACCCTGGCGCCGCCCCCGCCGCAAAAACCGATGCCGGCGATACCCTCGTGGTCCTCGCGTCGATGGCATCCGCATCATCACCCGCAGGCGCGACGGAAACCGACGTTTTGTTTTCAATATTATTGCTGTCGTTGACGCTCAGGTCGTTCACGTACGGAGTGGTTTCCAGAGGAGGCGTCTCGTTTTTTTTTGCGCTTGCCGTGTTCGAAACCAACGCATCGGTAGCCACATCATCTGCGGCATCAGGAGATGACTCGGTGGCAGGAAGAGCCTCTGTTTGGATGACCTGCAGCGGCGATGATTGATCGCTGCCAAAGTTAGCGCGGTAGCACGTGGGCGTCGTCTTGTAGCCCTCGACATCATCATCGCCTTCGTCATTTTCCCTCGCTTGCGGGAGAAGGTTGCTACGCACCCTGCTGGTAGCAGAGCCTGCCTCCTCTTGAACGTCGCTGCTGAGCCTGTCCACTCCGCTGGCTTCTCGGGGTCTCGATGGCTCTGCTTCTTCAGGTTGGATCCCGTTTGCTCTACTCAAAACCTTCCCTTCCACGATCTTTTGCGGTAATGACGTTGACGTGAAGGCATCGACGGTGTCATGAACGACCGATCGCGATTTTCTCGTACCCGCCAGAATCGAGCCATCCAAGCCATTGTTGGAGGGCCAGCTAGGTCCTCTCCCACGGTGGTCCGACGGGGCGCTGTTTCCACTCCTTCCGCGTATCGGCAACATGGCATCGTCAAATCCCGAGGGGCTCTCAGGCACGCCAGATGACCCATTGGAAAATCCTCGTATGTTAGTCGAAGAGAGGCGGTGCAGACTGCCATGCCGTTCCTCGCTCTTCCCCTCTTCCGCTCCCTCCCCAACCGCTCTCTCTGGCCCGCTCGCTGCTGGTGGAACGTTCCGTCCAGTTTCAGGACGGATGTTAGTCTCGGTGCTGTCCTCCTGTTCTTCATCGGGGGAATCGACCGGTCGTGCCAATACCGCCGTAGAAGCAGCCTTAGTGTCAACGCGTTCAGCGAGTCGACCGTCCTCCAATATTCCATCGGGGGCCTTGTCTCGCTCTCTTGTTGAAATTGCCACTCCTGGCGTTGTTGCCTCTGCCGCTTGGGGGAGAGAGCCGGCGAGTCCTGTTGCTGCTGTGCTCAAGATCACCGAGTGAGCATCCTCGTTACCGTCGCCATTGATGGCATTCGTCGCCTGACAGGCCCCCAATGAATGGCTACGGTAACGAGGGCTGGCAGGTGCGACAGGCTTCACCCAGGTCGACCTGGAATTATGTACAGGGTTTCGGAAGTGCGAGGTATACCGTGCGCGGGTGATCGTTCATCAACTCGGATGAACCGTGTTTGGGGCGTGAGGCAGCTCCCCCGACCGGCGAGATCAACGACAAGTGAAAGGCTTGTAAATGTGAGTGTTACTTGGTCGAAAAGCTTGGAAGGTTGGCAACACGCGAGGGTAAGTACCATTGGCGCTTCAGAACCATCAACCAATACCCGCGTCGAGAGCATTACACTATTTACTGCACATGGCTCCTATTGGCACTCACTGCAGTTCTGTGGATGGAACGTTACTTTGGACTACATATGTACATTCAGTACGGCGGAAGAATGCCCCCCTGTCAGGACGACTTCGTACCTCTTTCCCGAAAAGTAATAGACGTGGCCACTTTCCTCGTCAACAGCTTCTGCCCAACCCTCCGGTAGCCCGGCTTTCTCCGCCTCCCACACAAAACCGGCTCCCCCGCCACCATGTCCTCCGTTGACGTCTCCACCTACACTCGTGCTCCCGTTCCGCGCCCATTGTGATGTTTGGTTATCCCCGGACTGGTCGAGAGGGGAATAAAGCCTCGAAGACGCTGACCTTGGGCGATACTTTCCGGCAGTTCCATCGCTGCCGGTAGCGATAGTATTGTGGCCACAACGGTTTCCTCTGATTCGACGCCGCTCGGCTCGGGTATTACCCCCCGCCGTCGCTGGTCTCGGCCTATTGCCATTCCTGTCGTTCGCCATCGACGTTACCGAAGAACAACAAGAAGAACTCGTCGGCCGACGTTTGGGCGAGAAGACTGCCCTCGTGCCCCGAGAATCCTCCGCCCAATCGCCGCTCCGTTCCACCGGACATGTGTTTGCGATACCGCTACCGCCGCCGCCCTCGCCTCCGCCGGATCCTCGCCTCTCTTTTTGCCGTTGCTGGCGTTGCGGAGAACATTCCGCGCTTCGGCTGGCAGAACCGGAAGAAGCGAAAGTACGTCTGCCATCGTTGTCGATTTTGCTCCCGTTGCCGCTATTGTTGCCGGTTGCCGCGAAGCGGGCTCCTGTAAACCGGTCAAGCCCCGCCGGCGCTGATCTGCGGACAGACACGGAGAACAAGAGAACAAGCGTGCGGCAAGATTTAATTTCGGCAATATGGCACCTCTGTACCCTTTCGAGGGTCCATGTTAGGAAAGCCACCGTACAACCCTCTGGGGTGTTCCAGGCTTGAAATGGTTTTGGTGCGGAGAACTTTTTGGACTCGGCAGGCTTCTTTCTGGATATGTAGGGAGTTTCGGGCACTCTGAGCGGGGTGCAACGGGAATCAACAAGGCCTACGTGACGAGTTCAAACACGACCTGAAAGTATTTCCCAAAGAAACAATAGAATCTGCTGAACGATACATAGTACTCGTCCTGAAAGGGCAGAGAGAGAGCGACCGTCATTTGCTCTCCAATCACTGGGTGCTTCCGACCTTGATGGTGTGAGCCCGCCTTTCCAAGCCGGCAAGTTCAGCTGCCTCAACCATGGTGGTGGCGGCCACTCTCCACCAAGAACAGTAGCTCGCCTGTAATCCCTGCTCAAAACGTTTGTTGTGTTGGTGGTACAGAGTCAAGAGGGGAGCGCCGGTTTCGGTTGCTGCCTCCCAGGTCTCGTTTCTCGTCTGGGCCTACGCAGAAGGAGTTTTCTGTGGTGCACGCTTTCAACGTTTCTCGTGAGAGATAACTAGTATTCTTCGCCCTGCAATATCAAAGTTGAATATGGTGCCATTGCAAGCAAGCACAGCGTCACTCGCGTCACCGCAGAGATTATTCACATGGCTGACTTCGACCACCGAACATATCTTGAGACCATGGTTGCGGCCAAGGGAGAACTGTGAAACGATTTCCTCTTCGTGAATCACCACGATTTCGGTCCACATCATCATGCTTTGAAGGGTATTGGAAGAAGATTCCACGGTAGTATTTCACGGCCTCTACTGCACGTACTACGTATATTCTCAACGAACCAACACTCTTGTTGGAAAAGTAGTAGTGCGTGCCTACATGTAGCGGTGTGAAGGTTCCGTGCGTACATAATAGTTGTTTTTGTGCAACATTCGAGTCCTGTGGGAAAATGAAACACTTCACGATTCCGCAGTCGAACATCCATGTGGTGATTTTCCCCCAAACCCGTTGATCGGATGCGTTTCGTGTTTTCATGCTTCACAGAATGTTGTGCGCACTGAGCACGTTCTGCGTATTGCTGGCAACCTTCGGCCAACAGCCTCCGTGGGCAGCGCACCAGCAGCTTAAGAGAGCCCGTTGTGAAGTTGGCTCTCAAGGGGATCGACCCTCACCTAAGGTCTCGCTCTAGCTCCTGCATCCTCGTCCGTTGTCTCTCGATTCTCTGGTGCTGTGCCAGCACTAGTCCCTTCATCACGTCGACCTCCATTTCCGTGGTCAGACCCACCCTCCCGCCTTTTTCTGCGCCAGACGCTCCTCTCGCATCCACGCCTACTGGTGTATTTATTGTGTTGTGGCGGCGGTTCGACCAGACGGCAGAGGGCAACGCACCGAGGAAGACGCAGTCATGAGACAATGAAGGCGGGACGCCACTTCATTTATCATATTTTGTTCAGTATCTGCGGCAGAACTGCTCGGTGATTCTACACTTCGGAAAAACTATTCCTCAAAAGGATGAGGGTGAGGGCAAAGGTTGTCTGGGAAGGGGATCATGCTACAACACGTCATACCCAGAGGAAAAAATGTATACTCTTGACCTCGAACAATCTACCGAAGGCATTCACTCCCCCCCCCACCATTGCAAGCGCACCGGCCATCCCAGGCCCGTCTCACCTCGTTTGGCGCGATCTCTTCCCAACGAGGACCCCGTAGCGATCGGGCCGTCGATTTTCATGTACCCCCGACTTCCTCCTGGGGCGAGGACGCCGAGAAGCCCCGCCTTGGCCCGAGAGCTAACAAGCACTTCTCCTTTCCGCTGTCGTTGTCGGCCCCCTCGGGCGTCCTCCCGATCGCGAACAGCACTCTCTTGCGGGCTGGTCGCTGTTTGGGGGCTTTGAGGGTACCCTTGTTGTTGGTGTTGTTGTAGCTGGTGCTGCTGCTGGGGGAGGTCGTCAGGGTTACGGGGGTTGTGGGGTCGCTGTCGACTATGGTCTCGGCCCGCATCCTCTTGTCGGGGGTTGTGTCGGGTCGACATTGCGCCGTCCGAAGACAAGCTGCATTCCTCCTTGTCCGCCGGATAAACGGCTACGGAGGGGGAACCGTTCCTAATTGGCTCTTCTTCCTTCTCTGGTCTTGTGGTCCCCCGTTTATGCGACGTTTTCGGTTTTAGCGCTGTCACTGCTGATGGAATGTCCACCACGCGTGACATGAATGGTGCCGGACATGCCGCCCTCGCAGGGGAGGTACCGCTACCGTTGGGATTCTCATCGAGCTTCGCTCTCAGTCGCTCCACCTGAAAATTGGCAGTTTCGTTTGTTGGAAACTTGACAGCTAGCTCATTGGAACGAACGCTTCAGCGTGAGAAAGCAATCGGCAAAAGCAGTTGCTTGGAATTGCGCAGACTTTGAACTTTCTGAGGCTATGACTACTGCTACTCTTGGCTCACTCCGCACGGTAAGGATGCAGTCGGTTACTATCCTATGGCTTGAAGTTTCATTCAACAAGCAGCGTCCTCCCGTTGTGTTGCTTCGAAGTCTGGGGTGATCAGCGTTTCGTTGAAGTGAAGCTGTTGCATTCGTCCTACAGAACAATGTCCCGTGAGAACTAATGAACCTTTTCCTTGGTAGTCTCAGTTGGTGAGTTACGGATGCACAAGACGGCACACGTTCAATGGAACATCCGGGACATGCTGTGTGAATAGCCGTTCAGGCCTGTCTTTTCAGACCAACCAGAGCTGGACCGCCGACCTGGCAATGGTAAGTTGGTGCCGCTTACCCAACGTCTCCCTCCTGGGTACCGAGGAATAGGTCAGAGCTACTGACTATCTCGGGCCCAAGCAGCGGCGTCAACGTATACCCGTGTACCCCAACAATCATTTCAATGTCGTTTTTCAGTACCTCGCTCACGTACTCCTCCCCTGCCGTAAGCATCTCCGCGAGGGCAGTGAACTGGCACGACCGTTTCAAGCGCATGAGTTCCTCCTCCGTATGGGCCAGTCGTTCTGTCACTCGTGACAACTGTGAGTGGTTGTCGAAAAGCCAAAACAGGTTTCACGGAGGAAGCAGCGAATGTACAGGCTCGGGGGCAATTACTTACATTGAGCCGTGCGCAGCGTTGTGCGTTATGGTACGTGAGGTTCATCGTATTTTGTCTACTGTCGTCGCCAGAATCATGTGATGATCACGTCCGGCTCACAGAAACAGATTTCCTCGAAACGGGTGATGCCCTGCGATGCCGGGTTCGGGACGACATTCCGGGCCTTCCTTTGGAAATGTACCGACGACCGGATTTAAATCATGCTCGCCAAAAAGATACATGCTCGTTCCTCCCTTCTGTGGGCCCACCAAAGATAGCTATAGCTTGAAGCTTGGACGAAACCAGCCACAAAGATACCAATAAGAACAACAAGGGCGAGGAGGTCGGCGACAGCAACCACGACGACAACGCCAATGGTCACAACGGCAACGACGACGACGGCAACGTTGACAACGACAGAAATGACGACAATGACGTCGACAACAGCAACAACAACAACAACGACAACAACAGCAGCAACAACAGTAACAACAGCAACAGGACAATCGATCTCACCTGCTCTCTCAATCGGCAGACCACAAGCGACTTTTCCAACTCTCTGCGATGCTCCAAGATCGCTAACTGCTGTCGCTGCGGCGGCCCTCTACTGGGCCCATTCTTCGCCGAGCCGTTGCCCGTGAGATCCAGGCCATAACGGTAGGTCGGCAACATCTATTCATCACATGGGAAGGACAGACTTGACAAGTAAGCAAGGCTTTGTCGCATCTGTCGAACAACGAAAGAAAACTAGCAGAGGATATTGTAGCGGGCCTCCATGAGAGAACACGAGAGACAGAGAGATAGATAGATAGATAGAGAGAGAGAGAGAGAGAGAGAGAGAGAGAGAGAGAGAGAGAGAGTCCCATTCATGTGACCTGGTTCTGGGTAATATGCAACCAGGAGAGCATGTGCGTTCATGCGGGCTTACATAGGAAGATCTAACTCAAACCTACGCTTGTCGCGTGCCTCCAGATATCATCGATGGCGAAATATTCTACTTTCCTCTGCCGACCGATGGAGCACGCCTGCCACATTTTCCTCCTGATCCTCCAGCCGCTTTCGGGCTTCGTTGGCCTCCGCACGGGCATTTTCAGTTTCTGCTTTCCAGTGCTCAACTTCCTTCCTGCGCAACGGCAAGGTGGGCAAGGGGGTTCTGTCGGCACACGCTGGACCGTTTTATTTTCCACAAATGGTGCACGGCATGGATCTACCCAGGCGCCACTTGTGTATCTAGCCTATAGCATAAAAAAACAATAATCCTGCATTAGCTCGAGCCCTCGTTGCTCGATGTAACGCTCGTGACAAAACTCTCAATTAACTTCTTTCGGCAAGAGCATACTACGAGAATGTATCGAATGGAATCCTAGCAAGCCGGGGAGGGGATGGTATTGTGTGCTATTGTAATGACAGAACACGCAAATCGTGACAACATTTATTGTGGGGATTAGTTTGTGGGGAATAGTTGAATGCGTTTTCTACAAAGGGAACCGTGATGATCTCACGTCCAGACCACGTAGCAGAAAAGAGAAAATGTACTGAAAGCACATACCTCAACTCGGCCAGTTCCTTTGATCCCTCCGCGGCAAGCTCGGCCCTGCTCATGTACGGCCTACCGGCTCCCGCCGCCCCTCTTCGCGCCCTTTCCCTATCCGGGGATTCCCATGTCCCAGCAGCTCTGGCCGCCGCCTGGAGACGGGTAGCTCGATTTCAGGCTGGCTGATTATGGATCGTGCGGGATAGGCGACCACTGACAGGGAACCTAATGTGTTGTCGTTTTATCTCTCTGAGGATGCCTACAAAGGTCGCCCATGGCAACGTCGCGACTGACATCTGAAAGAGATGTCATGCAGTATATCTACGTCAGGCAGTTCTCGAGGTCCTGCGAGGGCAGGGGATCGAGGAGGATTCGGCTCAACCTACTGTGCTTATGGGTATTGGCATCAATGGCTGGGCGAGTGTGGTCTTGGATGGTTTCTTCAAAGCACTAGCGCACGTCTGGGTTGTGTTCCAAATCCGAGGTGAGAATGCAGAGTCGTCTGTTCTCAGACGGTACGTCACAACATCGATCGAAAATCAGGGGGACTCGGGTGCCGGTAAGCGAACATGGACAGGCCTGTCTATCCTCTGTCAAACGTACGGTGTCGATAATACTGCTGTAGACCCTGGCACCCGTTGAGTATCTGCCACATCATAACCGAGCTAATATTGTGGTACGCGCATGTGTTCATTCTGTCATACCAAAGGTCTAATAGATTCGGATAAAGGTAAGGGACACACAATCAAAGCTAATCCTGAACGTTTCAGTTTTGCGTTGGCAATCTTCCGTTTTCTTGAACCGCAGGCAGGTCTAGTTCGTGCCCGAAGACCCTATTTCTCTCACCTCAGCCGAACGTGCCGCGGATGCCGCCAGCTTGGCGGCAACTGCCCTCCGTGATGAAGCGGTCGGAGCAAGCGCCAAGGCGCCGCGGTCATCCCAATCCCGGGCGTTTCGCATACCCCCGCCGAAATTCAACGCTTCCGGAGCCATCGGCGCTCTCGCCACCCGCTGCGCGAGAAACTCGCCCGTTTCGCAATCTCTCCGCCCCCCACCGGCACGTCTGCAACCGCCACCGCCACCGGCCCAATCGCCGCTTGCGCTGCTGTTGTCATCTCGTGGGGGAGGTAGTATTTTTCGGCGATAGCCTCGATGCGCATGGGTTCTGTTGGTGGTGGTGTTAGTCCCGGTTGCCGCTGCCGTCGAAGGGGATGCTGTCGTCCTTGAGGATGACTGAGCGGATGACGGGCGAGCCCTCGGCTGCGTGTGGTGATTGTACCCAGCGTTCACAACGGTAGCAGTAACACGATCATGGTGTGTGCGGTCACCATCACCTCTATGTGGCCATGCATGTTTCTACCTCGGGCATTCTTTCTGACCAGAAAGGTTTGGTCATGCAAACCGGTTGCAACGGCACAGTAAACAGGTCCGTCCTACATCAACAGGTTCAGCGATGCCTCAAAGCTCGAGGATTTGTGGGCCCTGCCTATTGTTGTTTCACGGAGATAGTGAAGGCATTCGTGCACGGTGAAAAAGGATTCGGTCGAAATCGCCGCCTCCGGGCGAAGCAAACCAAACGGTACTGCTGTCGATAAAAATGTTTCCGGGAAGAATGCCACCCTGTTGCTACACACATTCAACGAGAAACGCAGGTACACTTCTCTTTGAGGTTTGCCCGCCTCTCCCGCAACCCAGTTGACCCTGTTGGCCCCAACCACCAAACACAACCTTCTCCACCTTCCCCGGTTGCACGCGCCGTGCAAGCATGCCAGAGGCCCCGGAAACATCGATGCCATCCCTTGCCACGGCTTTCTTCTGCCGTCGCGATTTCTTGAGCTGCCGGGGTGGGCACCCCCTGGCCGACGCCCCGCCGTCACCGCCGCCGTGTGCAATACCTCCACCGGTTCTTCTGCGGAGAGGGGCGCTTGCCGGCCGGGTTGATTTCACCCTTTTCTTCGCTCCTTCCACTGTCTTTACCCTCGCCGTCCCAGCGGTGTCAGTCTGGTTCCACTTCCAGAGTCGTTCTTCGGAAGCGAGGGCAGTGTCGGTTGTTTCGGGCGGGGCGGAGAAAGGCGGCGGCGCCACGGCCGCGATCCTCGTGCCGAGCGCAGAGAAGCGAACGGCTGCCGTGTGCATTTTTCTCTGTTTCGGGGCAGCAGCGGTGGCGTCCTCTCAGACGAGGAAGTGTTGGTGGTTTCTGTTGAAAGTGTAGGGTGAGAAAAAAAGGAATTTTAGAGGGTGGTTTTACATGGTGTATGAGTGGGTCGTCGGCACATCAACAACCTGCTGCAGTGTGAAAAGTTCTCAGTCACAACGCGGCGTGCGTGGGTAGGGCTCTGCTTTCCGCAGTCTACGCAGCGAAATGGCTTTGCTATTTCTGACGGCTTGAATACATCTCTAACATAGGAGAACAACACCCAACATCTTTGGGTGTGTTTCTTTGTTGGGAACGACGAGCTCTTTACACCATTGGAAATTGAAAGAATGACTTGGTAAGGTAGGCACGGTTGCAGTACAGACCCTGCCGTATCCCCCCCATTTTCTGCGTGGAAGTCGAAACGAGGATACTCTATTCTCATACGCGCCCTTTTTATCGCCGGACCCTCTTCACTCACTTCAGAGTGTGGCGTTCGGGAGCATAGGATCGGTATCTGTTCGGTACATTATCAAAGGGGTCGGACACAAGTCTAGGGCGGCAAATGTCAAGGTGGCCGACGCTCGTGATCGTCATCAGTATCAGTGGAGCGCCAGTGGCTAGATATCACCTTGAGACCTCTTCACCTCCACACAGCGACGTATTTCCTCACTCTTTCATGGCACGTTTCGAAGCCGATATCGATTGAAGTATACATGTATGGTCCCCGCCAACGATTCGGTACAAAGTAGGGTTGGGCAAGCCTTGTACCACAGAAAGCGGATCAACAATCAAATGTGCCGAGGACAAGCCGTGAGCCCTCACCCCAGGGCCGGCCGTGAATATTGCATTGGTGGAAACACCTACTGTACCACCCCTCGAATCATGCTGCAGACCGTTTGTTGTGGTTCCTCGACAGACGTCCACCCGTGCACCTCTCACGACGACCTCGCCACTCGACACGGATCCAAAGCAGAAAATCTTCTCGCATCGTTCGAAGTTGGTTGTTAGGTTTGTGTGTTACGTGATCGACTGTAGACTGTATGTATGCATACAGCAGTTACTTCTCGAGCGTAAATCCCCGTAGCACGGTCGCTCGCACGATCAGCCTAGCGCACCCATCTGTTTCCGTCGAGCTCGCCATATCCCCCTGGTCTATTTTGCTGGCTCCTCTACTACGGAGTTGAGCTACAGTACTATTGTGTGTACACAGCTGCAGGAATCGGGGTCGGTCACTCACAATTATAATAGGAACCGGTGTAAAGATCTTCATGGATGCGGCTCATTTCGCAACGTGACGACCCACCTTGCTTCCAGCTTCGAAGGAGCTACCTGGAGGTCCTTCGGACGTCTTGGCCTAAACACACGCCATCTTGGCAGGGAACTTCACCCCTCTCGCTAAAGGCATCCATACTTGTCGATCCTCTGGGCGGAATCCGCACTCCACACCCTCCTCGCACCTCGCACACCTTCGGACCTCCGAAAAAAAAAATAGTGTTTATTGTGAGAAGCCTCGTGAACCGCATGCAACTCCACTCCTCCGTCAGTTTCCCAACTGTGTACCCCCCAGCCTCTGTTCTCTGCCGCTGTGCTCTGTCACTCGGCTGCTGCCCTACAGCGAAACCGGCGCACACAAGATGGATGCAAGCATTGGCGGTAGTGGTGGTGGAAATGGCTTCGGCGGTGGGGTTGGTCGAGGCGGCAGTAGTCAATCTGTGGAGATGGACCTGCAGGCCTTGATGATGGGCAGCGAGAGCCTCCTCACGCACATCGCACGACCGGATGGCATCCCCCGCCTCGACAAGAGCTTGGCTGAGATCGTGAGTGCCTGAGTGCCTGCCTACCATGTGTCCTTCTCCCATCCATCCCTTCGCTCTCTCTGTCTGGAGCTGTTGATGTGTCGCTCTTTCCCTGGCTGCGTCGTTGGACTGGGTTTTGTCTTTGTGGTGCAGAGTCCGCTGTTGTCGTAAATCAAACGGCCAGCTTTATTTTGCCGCCTGCAAGCCTGCGCTTACTTGCGGTAGTCCCCGGTTTGAATTTTGATGGCGACCGATTGTTCAATGTCTCATTGGGTTTACAGTAGTTGAGTCGCCCAACCGTAGCCTCCCGGTTGTTCACTAACAGAAATCTTCAGCCCTGTGTGCTTTCTCTCAAGGTGCATATTTTCTTGCTCCCCAGCTCGGAGCATTCTAGTCTGCAGGCAGCATTGTGCACTACATTGCGGATATGCCAGTCGGGCGCTGGTGCAAACTCCGGTAGCTGTAGATGTGCACTGCTGTTGCCCGTTGTTTGGGTTGACACCGCTGCTGCGGTCCAAGCCGAAAACATCCTTCTTTGTCGGACCCTCTTTCCTGTCATAGGTGCTGTATAGCTATTGGCTACAAAAGTTTGAAACGTGCGGACATGTCAATGTGGATGCCCACAGCAGCACCGCCGTGGGGTGCCTCATGTGTAGGCACACGTGCACGCCCATAGCGTCAACCTCCAAGGGCCATTCTTTCGGGGCACGTTGCTGTGACACCAGACTATTCGACCGTAGGTTGCTATAGATCAAGGGCACCTGATTCCGTGGGTGACGTTAAATATCACACACCCTGGACCGATATTGAAAGCTCATTTTTTTTTTTTTTTTTGTCTTCACTTCAAATCAGCGCTCACAGCACTCGTGCCGTTTACTCCAACCCGTGGTCACACAGCAGAGCCCCTCTCTACCCTCCCCTCCTGCGGTACTTTGCCTTCGATTTTTAATGCGAGAAGAGTTCAGCACTCTCTTCCCTCTGTGTACGCACGAACTAGCGCTATCCACTAGGCCAGGAGCGGAAGCGAGAGAAAAACTCACTTTTGCAAGAAAAGCTCGCTTGCGCCGGGATCCGAACCCCTGACCTGACCTCTAGAAGGTTTCGAGGATACCAACTAGACCACCGGGGCGACCGTACTGGTATGATATAAATAGTACTCCGCGGCGAAGAGGGGCGGTGCCGACTATAGCGGAAGGCGTTGGAACCGGCTCGTCGAGAGCTTTCCGAAAACGTATGCATGTGATGTACTTGGTAATTCATTTTGGATTTGACCTTCTCCTCTCCTCGCCCGTAGTAGAGAAAAAGAGTCTTGAAAGGGCTTGCGTGTGATACACATTTCCACGAGTACGGTAGTACCGTAGTGAGCACGTCGCTTGGTATCATCGTGTCCTATATCTTTCACACACCTTCACACCTTCACAGCAGACACGTCAGTCGGTCGTGCCAATGGTGCCCCGGGCGCATGATAAAGAGCAGTTCGATGGGCTACGCCACCCATGGAACCTATGCCTGTGGTTGCTCTGCAAGGATAGCATGTAGCAACATGGCGTGTTGCTCGAGGTCGTACTTCGGTAACGGTTTCGTCTTGCTTACCCTCGACCCTTTACCTTCCGCAGTCTATTCTAGACGGTCATGTGTTCGGTACAAGCACCCCTCTGTGCACTTCGGTTGGGGTTATTTTGTCTCGCTAGCGCGATTCCGTCCAATAGACCTGTGGTATTGGTCTGCTATGGTCTGCTACATATAATAGCTCTACTCCTCCGTATTTTCGTGGATGGAACTTCTGCTCATCTACACGGGCAGACAAAGGCACCTGCGAGATCGAAGCACTCCTTCCTACCCTCGGCGCTAGCGCGGAGTACTTCTCACTCAAAACACCCCATGCTCCCTTTCGAGACACCACAATCTGGCAATACAATCTAGCAATACAATCTGGCAATATCATCTGGCAATTTTATTATGTTTTTGTTCTATTCTCCTAATACTTATCGGTTACGTCGAAGTACATTTGACCAACCATGTTCTTCTGTGATACTGCTGTATGCACGATAGGAACGAGGATCACTGCGGATGGGAGCCGAGGCAGCCGCTAGGAGCCGGAGAGAGGCGGTGTCGCTTGGGGTAACCGCTGAAGTGGCCGAACAGAAACAGGAGCTCAAAGGCGGGGTGAGAAAGGGTGAAATAGGCTTTCCGTTGATTGTCGCTAATGTTGTACCCTCTTCTTGAAGAGCAGATCATTTTTTTTTTGTGTGTATGGGTGGTCTTCCTCCTGTCTGACCCCGGCTTATATGTACATCCGGGCAATATACCCATGAAATGCGTAAAGACTGACCTCCATGTGAAAAGGGGACGGTACGGTGCACACATTCACTCACACACATGGCGTCGACTTCACGGACATACCTAAGTTCGGGTCGCGCGGGTTTTTCCTTTACCGTGGAGTTGAACCAAGGAACGGAGCGGCGAAGGACGGGGTATGGATGGCCGTGCTCCTTGTGAGCTTTCTCATGTTTGACGGGACGGAATTTAGGTGTCTCAGCGACTCCTTGCGTTGGATTGCGATAGTAGGCGCGTCTGTCACCGAACTAAAACGGCCGTCGTCTGTGGTGATGTTTTTGGACAAACTGGCCAAGTCTTTGCCGAATGGCACAAGGGAAAAGTTAAAGTTGGGAGCTGAGTTGAGTCTGTGCTGAATTACACGGCACTCAGCTGTGACGTTATGTGCTGCTATTTTTGTCTATTGCCTGTTTTTCCCCTTGCGTTTTCGAACACACAACCTACTACGATCGTTGACTTCTATCCCCCCCACCAAAGACTTGACTCCAAGTTGTCAGGTCGCACCCTGAACTTCGAAAAACTTTCCAGGTCGGCGGCAAGGCTTCAACGTGCAAGTTGTGCCGCATTCTCTTCTAGTTGCGCCGCGTTCTCTTCTCGTCGTTGTTGTGTGGGCCGCCTACCTGTTCCTCATGCCTTCTCCTCTTGGCGGGCCCTGTTGTCTTCCCTTTGTGTTATACCTTCATCGCTCTGCTGTGCGTTCAGAGCATGCTGGCACGCAACAGGTTCGACCCCGAATCTTTGACCCGTGCGGTGAACGCGGTGCACCTAAGGGGAGGCTACCAACCCCTGCAGCCTCTCGGCGAGACCGATATCGAGGTGAAGGATTGACAGTATCATTGCGATTCAGTCTTAATATATTTTGGGAGGTATCGCAGCAACCCACCAAACGAGAACCGTGGGTCTGCCGTGCGGTGGTTGCGAAGACTTGTGGAGGACATCGGAAAAAACGTGAAAATGGGAATTTTGTGAGGGAGAGAGAGGCGGGGTGCTGCTTGGGAGGTTGGGGACAGTAGAGGTTGATATGACATCACGCGGAATGGAATGGTGTTTTTTTTTTTTTATGTTGGTTCCGGTGATGTCAGGGTTGGACGAAATCTTTCGGGGAGGCGTTGGTACGAGAGAGTCTGGCTGCATACTACGGCCTTTGAGAAACGCCTCTCTTGGGTTTCCATTGCTTTCCGAACTCGGTACCGGCACTGTCTATGCATAATGCATACCAATACATACCGCCCGTTCGTTTTTCCGCCGACTCTGCTGACGTTGACCCCGAATGTTCGCATGGTCGAAAGATTTTATATTCGCTGGTGCCTGCCGTGACACTCAGAACTGTCATTTCACACGCACACACATACATACACCCAACTTTTTTTATCCCCTGAGTTTTTCTGTCCACGAGCGATCTAGTAACTCATATATATATTTTGCCAATTTTCGTTTTTTTGTCACAATACAATAGGGATACCTGGCGCACCACCACGACATGATCGTGCTCACGGCTGTTCACGGGACCAGGGCCGCAGCCGAGGAGTGCTCTCTCGTCAGGCAGAGGGAATGGGAGGTGGACTCCTGGAGGGAAACCAAGAAGGTAAGGCAGCAGCCTACAAGCTGCAACCCTGGGCGTGCTACACACACGTACACCATGTTGCTCCTCCTGCGGTCTTACGAGTGCTTGGCGTTGCGGTCGAGAGCCCAGGGTAGCGCGGGTTGGAGAGTAACGGTGCCCAGTACAGCAGTGCCAATGCTTTGAACAAGGTAGCCATGGAAAATGTGTCATGTTGTTATTGACTTTGAGTAGCGGCGGTGCCCCCCCCCCTAAGACGCCGGGGAAGGTTGAAGGTGGCTGGCAAGCACCGGCTCTGTAGATCCCCCCCCGGACGTCCTTGTTGAGACGTGAATTTCAAGGGAATGTGGTCCGCTCGTCTGTTGAGGCAGAGGGAGGGAGGGGAAGGTGTGATATGGTGCGATATGGTGTGGGAGGAGGTGGGCTCCTCGAGCATTGCGGAGGATGACAGCAGTCTGGACCCTCTCTGGTGTTGATCCTTGTTGCGATTTCTTTAGCAAGAGCTGGATAAGGTTGGAGGGTTAGTTGATGCCATGAGGCGAACAACTGCTGTAGGCCGGGCCTGGTCGGCGAAAGCCATAATCGAGCGTGTGTGGTTTGGTTTGGTGGATTCACACCACCTGACTGCAGTTTTCGTCTGGTGGAGTAGGCTGTCGGTTAACCGGACACTGCCTTGTTTCTTTCACAATCGATCTGTATATTACTGCTTGGTGTCTGAGTACGCGCACGATCTCTCAACGTTAAAGTAACGATCTCTATGTACAGAGATTGCTGTTTCAGTACGCCTACGATCAGTACCCCCACGATCTCTAAATGTTTGCCGTTTTTTTTACACCCACGATTTCTAGATGTTTGCTGTTTAAGTACGCCTGCCCGCCTTTGCTTATGTTTTTCATTTTGTGGCGAGCAGGCTTTGATGGGGGAGGCCATGAATGGCGGAGTTTCCTCTTGCGGAGGCGTTGGTCCGTCCTCTTTTTCTGGGGTTTCGATGCTCAGAGGACCCTCCGGCGTCGGTGGTGCGGGAGAGCAAGGCAGGGTTCACCCAGAGACTCCCAGGCCGGAAGGGGTGAGTTGGTTGCTCTCCGCTCGTTGGCGCTGGCGTTGCTATTGCTCTTATCCGGATGCTCATTTGGCCTGTTTCCTCGCTGTCGTTATTTTTGCTGCTGTTGGGATGTTTTGCGGCCTTTGTTTCGTCGCTGTCGGTACTGTTTTTTTTTTCGCGATGGTGCTTGTGTTTGTCAGAAAATACGGTTTTTGGTTAATCCCCGAGGTTACCGTCGAAAACAGTCTAACTTGATGTGCCCGTAGTCGTCGCCGCGAAGAAGTTAGCCAATCAGCTAGAAGTTAGCCGATCAGCTAGAAGTTAGCCGATCAGCTAGAAGTTAGCCGATCAGCTAGAAGTTAGCCGATCAGCTAGAAGTTAGCCGATCAACTAGAAGTTAGCCGATCAACTAGAAGTTAGCCGATCAACTAGAAGTTAGCCGATCAACACTGTTACGTACATTAATGTATAGACCACCTGTTTTTCGTCACCAGACTTGTTGAATATATGGCTGTCTACCTTACCTGCTTTCTTGAGACTACCCAATCTTTTTGACCACCCGACCACGGAACCCCCCTCGCCGCCCCCCCCCCCCCGTTCTCGCTGGACCAGTCGCTGGCTGTGGTGGCCGTACCCCCTGCGGGCGGCGTGATTCCTCCCGTTTCGGCCGTCCCTCCCACGACGACGGATACCGCGAGCAGGCTGTCGGCCTTGGAGGTGGGGCACCTGGCTGTCATCCGCGCTCTCAACGACACGGTGAGTTGAGTGTCGGCTTCTGGTTGGTCAAGTGTGCGGCGTAATATAGCCTCGAGTAGACCCATGTCGTTTCCCAGGTACATGCGTGAACGCTTTAGGCTTTGTTGCCCTCTCAGTGAGCGGTGGTTGTGGCTAATAAGGAGGTGATACGTTTGTACGGTGCTCTTGATTTTTTTTTTTTGTGGCTGCTGGGCAAGTCATCCGCGCTCTCTGTTTTCGATCGACACGGCGGGTTCTTGTTGCGGTCAACATCAACAACAGTTCCCAGTGTCGTCAGTATGATGAGGCCGGCTCGCTCTGGAATGTTCCTCGCGGTATCACAATTTCACAATTTTGCCCAGAAACTCATCCTTTGCGCAGACAGCAGGCATCCATCGCGGGCGATGTGACCCATCGCCAAGATACCGCTGCAGTATTTAGTTGTCTTTCGGCCGTCACCTTACCGTGCTGCGCTGAAAGGTTGTCGGCAGGTGTAGGTCTGTCGGCAGTTTTTTGCTTCTTGTCGTCATGTGAATCCTATTGCGTAACTTTAGTCGGTGATCACCTCTGACAGTTTGGCCTGATCAAGGCGGCAATTGACCAATCTCCACGCTCGTTGTTCGCTTCTCATATCGCCTTTTCAGCCCGGTGTCGGAAATAACAGCCAGAGAACATCGTCTTTCTTCTCATTCCTGAGCTCGGCGCTCGACCACAAACTTACTCGCGCTCCCTTCTTTCTCTTCGTCTCGATCGGGGATGGGATGGTGGTTTTGGTTCTGGCAGGACGGCAAGTTCCCGTTGGCGACACGTCTGGCAGCCTCTGCGAGCACTGTGGTTACACCGGGGGTCAAGAACGGTCCCGAACACGCCTACTTCAACGCGCTGAAGATGCTTGAGTAAGTAGACTATAATACAAAGTAGACTTCCGTGTCTCTGTCGTTGCTTCTGTTGTTGTTGTTGTTGTTGTTATCGTTTCGCTGCTGCTGGGGATGCGGTGATGTGACTGTTATTTGAATTACTAGGTCTTACGCAACGCACGCAGGCACATTTTTGATTGTGCTGACGTTAGTAGAGCCATCTCCGGTGTTCTAGTCTAATACTTCTAATGTAGTTGTCGTTGTGGACTCTTGTCGGTGCCGTCACGGTCATGGCAGATAGTGGGCCTGACATGACAGACCGCAGGCTTGACTAAGAATGAAAAATGATGCGCTACACCACAGAACGTGTGTCAACCTAAAACGGCACCTTTCTATAGATTGTGTCAAACCTTATCACCGTTTTGACGTGCTCCTGTCTCGAACACTGTACAAGAAATACAAAGAACAGGGCACGATTGGGCACACACCTCTCAATCAACGAACTATGACATCTCTCCAACGAACACCTCTTCCGTCTGTCGCCATGTCATGTATGACTATGTCATGAATGGCTATACTATTGCAGGACTATGCTCGAGGGAGAAGGGTGGGAGGGTGCCGGAGCGAGCACGTCCCGCTCTCGCCTAGACGGCACGTTGGACTTCCTGCAGAAGCAGTTCAAGCAGGTCATCGACGATCAGGTGCAGCAGTGCAGTTAAAAAGCAAAGCGTCTTTGGTTGTTTTATTTAGAGTATGCTGTCGAGGTTGCATGTATTTGGTTTCTTGCAACGACGCCAGTAGAGTATACTGCTGTATGTTGGCGTACGGTACGTCGTTAAATCAGTACTACAATACAACAGTTTTCTAGATTTTTTTTTTTTTTTCACGCCTGGACACCAATTGCCTATGATAGTGTTAAATATGCCCTCAGCCCGCAACGCTATATCTACAAGTAGCATGCCCCATCTTGGGATACTTTAATGTTGCTGTAATTCTGCACCTTTTCGGATGGCCCGTGGCTGGACATGGTGTCTTGTATGGTTGACATGCCTTGCATGGCTGGACATGGTGTCTTGTATGGTTGACATGCCTTGCATGGCTGGACATGATGTCTTGTATGGTTGACATGCCTTGCATGGTTGACATGGTGTCTTGTATGGTTGACATGCCTTGCATGGCTGGACATGGTGTCTTGTATGGTGGACATGCCTTGCATGGTTGACGTATCCAGGTGAAGAGGGCGAGGGAGGCTGGTACGGTGGACGCGTCAACCGTTCGAGACACCGATACCGGGCTGCCGTTCAAGGTTCGAGCCTTCATGCGCCTCGACAGGAAGAGCAAGGTATTGTTGGTTTGGGTATGGTTAGGTTTGATAACGTATTGGTTGTTATTTGGTTGTTTTTTCGCGGCGCCTTGTTGACTGACGACTTGTGATTTTGCTTAGAGCGCCATGAGTTTCTCAGATGTTGCCGTTTTTGTTGACATCATCTCGTTCAGGAATGCCTCTATTAGCTTTGCTCTCGAGCATTAGTACGTCCTCAGATCTTGCCCTTTTTTGTTAGGATTGTCTGTTGAAGAGTACCACTAGTTTTTTCTCGAGAGCATACTGACTGTGGTCAGAAATGTGCGAAGCGGCGATGCTTGTAGTGTGCGTATTAAAGCCTGTGTACCATCGATCGAACCCACTGCTGTTTCAACGTGCGCATTCACCCGGGTCGTTTTTTTGTTTTAATTCGGAAGATTGTCCTTCCCTGCTCCAGTTTGTTGTGGCAGCGTCGTTATATTTGTGCGGCTGGCGGTTTGGTCGCGGTTTGTGTTTGCTTTTTTGTTTTTTTCCCTTGTGGTTAGCACGCGATTTGTGAGACAAGCGGGGCAACATACCACGGTCTTTTTCGTGTGGTTGGTTTCGTCGTCGTTCGGTTGATGTTGCAGTTCGTGGTCGGAGGCGGGGCCATGTTGTCGCAGCTGCCGGTGTGGCCGCAGATTTTTCTCTGCCTCCGCTGCGGGGGGAGAGCCGACGCCAGCGCCATCGCTCGTGCCGCTGCAGAATCTCCGGAGAACTCACGATGCACCCCGCAAGGTATGCAGTGTTGTTGTTGTTGTTGTTGTTGCTGCTGCTGCTGTTTATGGCGTTGGCGACAATCATCTGCCATGCACAGCGTGCATGCTGTTAGCCACATCTTGATACTCCCTCCAATCGTGTGCACGAATGTCTGCTACTTGAAGCGGTTGTGTTGGGGTTGGGGTTGCTTGTCACGACCAACAGGCACGAGAGTATCGTGTGGGTTCATATCATGTCGTCGAACTCACACGGAAGGCGGAAGATGAACCCACACGGGGAACTGTAGACACCTGTACTGTTTGTGCCGGAAAGAAGCAGCAGCAGCAGCAGCATCAAACACACGCATTCGTCTCTTGAGCCTTTCGGTCCACACCGGCAACGACTAGATGAAGGTTAACATAGAACTGGTCTTGCGTGTCCTGTGCGTCTCTCGTTTGTAGAGCTTGAGTTGTTGACCAAGGTGAGCGAGCTGCTTGCCCAGGGGAAGACGGAGAATGCCTTCGGCGGCGCCATTCAGCAAGCTTTCCACAGGTGATGTGATGACCCACTCCGACACTCTGACCGATATGCGATGTCGTCTTTGAACAATTTTGTGACGCTTGACTTGTAGCTGTCTTCGTGCCTACGGCAGATTTCCTTCCTGTGCTATGTATGTCTTAACATGGAGGGCAGGATCTGCTCAATATTCGAGCGCGGCTCACTGCATATTGAAGGCCATTCTTAATTCAGGATTGTCTACCTTTCCCGCCGCGTCCATATCACTGTTCGCTCGGTTATCATTCCTTGCTGCCGCAGCTTTGGTGGGCATGCTAATGTGGATGCGGTATCCCTCTGTTTTGCTCGTAGGCAAATCACGTTTTCGTTGTTGTCTTCCACAGCTTGTAGAAATACCACTGTTTATTATCTCATACAAAACGAGGGATTAGAGGGCATGAGTGTGGCGTCGAAGTCTGTGATGCAAGGTTTGAGATGCGAAGGACATGATATAGGTGGCGGATGTATTCGCAGCCCCAACATTACAAGTTTTGCGGTGTGTTGGGCTTCCAGCAGTTAAATCACACGTTTTGTATATAATCCGCCTTAAAACCCCCGCCTCTCTTCCGCGCTTTGTTCTGGTGCCTTCCTCTTGCCTCTTTTTCTTTTTGCTGTTTCAGCATGAGGGACGGAGAGGACAGCTTCAAGCAGTCCGTGCTCAACATCCTCTCCGCCTCTGACGACAAGAAGGTCACCAGAATCAACAAGGTGACCTACGTTTGTACCTTTTCGGTTTCAGTTCTTGAAACCACTACGTTTACAGTAGTGCCTCACGGTGTAAAGAGCGCCCTAGTAGCTCGGTACACCGACCTATTGAGAGCACTACCCGGTGTACACCAACCAAGCTTGGGGATGTGGGTGAGGGTTTTGGGTAGGGTTTACGGTTGGTTTAGGCCGAGTTGACCCTAGCGCGGGGCTGGAAACCTGCCACTGTAGGTGCTTTTGTTTCATGTCTACCTCCAACTACAACCCGAAACCTGTTGGACTGGTGTACGCAAGCAAGTCCCCAGTCCTGGCGTACGCACGATGATTAGGTCCGGCCGCACAGCATAGGGCCAAGGGATTTTCGGCCGCCCTTGTGCCTGGCGCCCGGACCTTTTCCGAGTGAGCAAGAAACAACTTGAATATTCGGCTTGTCACCCGATTTTCCCGGCCTCATTCAGACCTTGTTCATGCACCCTCCCGTGGGAACCCGACGTTTTTTTTCGGTTGTCTCAACACACACCTCTCTTTCGTGTGATGTTGAAATCTCGTCCTTCGTATGAATCCTGTAATTCATCTTGCAAAATGAATCTTGTAACTTATCTTCACAGGAGACGATCGAGGACTACATGTGGTTCAAGCTATCCTTCGTGGGCTCCGATGTGGAGAGCTCGGAGATTCTTGAATCAGCCAAGGTATGGTGCCATGTCGTGTTGTTGTGCCTTCTCCCTTGGCTGCGTCGGGACGATTGTGCCGTGCTGTTGCCACTGGAGACATGATCTACAGCAGTGTAACATCTCATCTATGATAGCGGGTTTTTGTTCATGTTTCGTCGAACTATTTTTCGAAATTTGTTGTTGTGGCACTGTGTGGGGATGATCCGTTCTAAGGGATACGTTGCGGCTACAAGCGGGCTGTGGGTAGGCTCTAGCTTTGCTGCTGCAAGTCGTTCTGCGCCAGATAATTACGCAGGCATTGCAATGCGGGTAGGTTGACGTTCTGTTCTGATGTGTTCCCGGAAGTGATCAATTCGAATGCCTTCAGGGTTATTTGTCCATTGTTGAAAGGGGTTGGCCCAAACGGTATCTCTCGGTTGCACACTTAGTTTGTGTGTGGTTAGGATATGCCTTTCGTCGCGTGCCTTTTTTTCTCCATGCGCTTTGCTTGACTGCTGTATAAGTAGATTTCAGAAACGACAGCGGAGCGTGTAAGCGATACTGTACCGCATTGCCTGTCGTACGTTGTTCGTGTTTGTCTTCACTTTACATCCAAGTTACATTCGGGCCTTCAAGGTCGAACCGCCGTGTGCCCGTCAATATCTTTCGTCCTACGCTTGTCCAATATACTTTTGAGGAAGGGAACCTTACATCAACCATGACGTGCCGCTGTTTTTTTTGTTTTTTTTTGCGATGACGATGACGATGACGACGACAGGCGCGTGTGAGCGGCAGGGACGCTAGGAGGCGTTTCGATCCCGACGGCACCAACACCTACGCCTACGTGAACGTGCTGCTCTACACGCAGCAGCTCGAGGCCGCGGTTGCCTTCTTGCACTGGAAGGGGCAGCACTTGGCGGTAAGGGCCGTAGGATAAGATGGTCGTTTTTGTTGTTGATGTTGGTGGTGGTGGTGGTTTGTCTCTCGTCTTTCTGATGCATTCGTTGTGTTTGTGACCAGAGTTATGCATATGTGTTTGTTGCCCGTGCTCGCCTCTATTAAGTCCTCTCATACTCACCGTTGTACCTTACTCCACACACTTCGGCATAGTAGTGGGCACAATGCGTACATGGACCGAGAAGTTGATCCGCATATTTGTTTGCCCCCCCCCTAACCCACAAGGATTCTGGAATTCCGAAAGGTGCTTCGTGCAGTGTGCTTCAAACACCTTCAGAAGAGCCTCTCATCCAGTTTCAATGGTGAACCGTAGGAGTGTGACCGTACGGTGTTTACCAGTGTATGTAGCTCGAACAAGGATGCGGAATTAGTGGTCTGTTATTCCACGGCCGAAGCCAATCGCAGTTAAACTGCAGTGAAGTAACAAGCCCACCGCCGCGCATCCTTGATATTCCCTCGACCTCCATCGCTACGACCAAGGCTTTGCACATGGCCCTGGCCATGAGCCACCACAACGCCTACACGGCCGGGGAACGGACCTCTGGCACGCCACACGACCACAACCACTACCCCGGTGATGGGGGCGAGCCAGGCCCCGCCCCCACGCTGGTCGATCTGATGGCAAGGGTTGTTGAGGGACGCATCGACAGTGACCCACAGGTGGCGTATGAAAAGGTTTTTGTACGGAAATGATCTGTCTGTTGGGTGTGGGTTGTTCTGATGCGTGTACAATTGTGTGGAGGCTTTTGCTTGTGCTATGGGCTGTCCGCGCTAACCTCGCCTCGCGCTCCGTCGGCTTCCGGTCTCTCGTGCTATGTCTCGTGGCTGATTGATGGTGTTTTATGTTTGTCTGTTTTTTGGCATCCTAACACTGTTTATTCGTTCTCCTGATTATGATTTTCTGTTCGTATGACGTACTGCTGTAGTGTCTCGGGAACCTTGTCTTAAAATCATGTGTCTTCGTCGTACCATTTGCGGAGCGTCTACGTGTACTCCTCATTTTTGTTTTCCTGAATATCGCTTACAAGTCGCAGCGAACCGGATTAATTCACTTTTCTTCCCCCAACCTCGAAGTTCTCTCTCCAAAGAGCGCATATGCGTGGTCCCTGGGCAAATCCTTGTATTGAAAGCAACAAACGATTAGCCCGGTCCGATCAGCCTTCGATGTGTTGCCAGCACTATTGGACAGATTCATTCGTGTGCTTCTTGTCCTTTTTGTGTATCCTTTTCGGCCCGTACCATTCCGGTCAACAAAGCCGTGGCCGTTGGTTGGCGTCCTTGGCGAGCTGTCCTATACCTTCCAACATGACGGCGGCCTTTTTGGTCCGAATTTGCGTACGATTTGTCGCGACGTCTCAATCGCGCTTATAAATCCGCTCCCAGATGTGTGTGGAGTACATGCTCCGCTTGCCGGTTCCTGTCGCTGTGGAATGCATCGGAGCGTTGTGCGTTGAGATGGGGGCCGAGAAGGCGGCGAGGTTCTTGGGGTACATCCAGACCGACGGCAACCGAAAGAGGGTGAGACCCAGCACCCAATGTGTTGTTGTCGTTTTGGTACGTACTAAGTAGCCGAATGGTTTCCAGAAGTTGTTCTTTACGTCCAATATCTTACATACTTTCCGGTCAACATGTTCACGTACTTTCCGTTCTGGACAACTCTCAATAATTCTTCTGGTATGCTATGTACAACTGTGTGAAAAAAGTGTGAGCATTTTGGTTTCAAAGTTGAGCGCACGATACAGCCATATACCAGGCACTTGCACGCGCGCAGTGGTGTGTTATTCTCTTCAAGGTAATCATGCCGTTGCCAATGTCTTACTCCGTACTAAACTGCCGTTGTTCAGGGCGATCTGGACCGTTTCCTGACGGAGGACACGGTCGAAGACGTTGCCTTCAACGCTGCACAAAAGGTAGGTGTGGAAGAAGGTACCTTGCCCGTTTGCGTTTCAGGATGTAACCGACGTTCTGTGAATCTCGTCGACTCTACTGTAGTAAAGCGACAAAGGCGGGGTATAACGTTTTTTATCATTTTCGCCATTGTCGACCAAAATGGAATGTATGCCTTACATTGGGAAGGATGGTTCGCTGCCCATTGGAAAGGATGGTTCGCTGCCCAGATCTCTCTGATCCGTATTGGTGGTCACGTGTAAGCATCGTGATGTTCATGGCCGGGTGTGATCGCGAAGGGGTTCGAGACATACATGGAGGTTTTCAGTAGACCATTTGGTAAAGTGCACTTATTTCGATGGTCAAACCGTCTGAACCAAGACGAAATGATGACCCCAAGAGTCTTCGCCGACCACTTGAAGCGGTGCGGGGAACATATCCACGAGACGAGTGTTGAGCCCGAAACAACACGGCGCAAGCGCGCACACCCAATCCAAAGATGGTGTTTGAATTTTTTGTTTCGTGTCAATCTGTTTTTCCCGATTGGATGGACGATCAATCGACGTCTGCTAGGCCGAGGATGCCGGGCGGAAAGAAGACGCCATGACGTTCTTCGGCCTCTCTTGCGACTGGGAGAAGATGGCCGGACTGCTCCAAGAGAAACTGGCCGAGAACCTTGATCCTCAGGCGGAAAAACGCGCTTTCTGGAAGGTGAGGAGTTGAGTTGTGCCAGGTAGTCTGCTGCTGTTGCCGTTGATGATGTGGCTTTTTTATCTCCCTGTTCATTTTTTCACTTCCTTCACTAAGATTTTAACTTGCACTCTTCTCCGTACGACTCGTTGCTGTTGCCGCAGGCATTGCGTTGGGTTGTCTTGACCAAATTGTTTTTGTTGTTCATTCCATGCGTGTTTTCTGAGGTGCTGGACTGACGTTGCGCTTGACAACGCTTTCAACTTCCTCCCTTGTGTTTTACCAGGAGCTGGGTACGACGATCTACACTCTGTTGAACACCCTGTCGCAAGGCCCGGATTCCAGTGAGGTGCGTGTGTATGGATGTGTGTGTTTTTTTGTTTTTCTGTGGTTGCCACTGCGACCGTGACCTTGAGGGCAGTCCTCACCCCTCGCGCGTTCCCCAAGCTTACACCAAGCATAACACCCAATCCGTTGTCGAAGCTGCATGCTGCTGGGTTCGCCACACTTGGACGTGTCTCGGTCCCATGATAATTTCAACGCAATTCCGTTAAACCCCTCACGACAAGCGACAACCTGGTGACGTTGTTGCAGTCGACGTACCACTCAAGTTGCCGGCGAGGTCGTCCTACGCTTGCCGAGCGCTACGCGTAGCATCAGGTCTCATTGCCCCGGGTCATCGAATAAACCAGCCACCCCCATCGAAATTACTGAAAGCACAGCTCGCAAACGGACCAATCGTGTTCGTTCAATCGTTGGCTCGATTTTCTACCCCGGTACATAGCATGGCGTAGCCCCTTCTACCATAGCCACGCTCCAAGACTTGACCAGTCACGAAATGCTCCCGTCCACACATCTGTGCCGCTTTCTTCCACTCATCGTCACGTCATCATGACGTCACACCAAAATGTTCACAGTCTCGCGCGCTGGCCACCAAGGGCGTCGGGCAGATGCTCCGGCTGATGGACTTCTATGTCTTCCTCAGCAACCGAGAGTGAGTTGAGATGAGTTGAGTGAGTTGAGTTGTACTAAATATTTAACACCAGCTATCATGGCGCCCCTATTTAGTGCGTTCCGCTTGTCGTGCAAAGTCAACTACATAACTATTTTTTGTTGCGCCGTTTGGTGCCATTGCTTGATCTGGCCGATATTTAAGCACGCATCCCGCTCCTGCTTGTTGTGGGGGAGGGCACGGGAGAAGGCGTTTATTTGATAGTACCAGTGGTAGTGATTTTTTTTTACATGTTTTTCTATCGGGAAGGACGTCGCAGCAAGGGAGTCTCATTTTGTTATCGTAGCGCTGCATATGTACCCCTTTACATTTTTCCTTCGAAATCGTTTTGCGCGATTTTCGTTAAGGCTCCGCACGAAATTAATCCACACTCCAACTAGACGAGCCATGTAATGCCTTTTCCTTGCCACCTCTGTCCATGAGGCTGTTGATCAAGGGCACTATGTTGTCATCGTGAACCACCATTGTGCGTGTTCTTTGCATGCCGGCAGGCTGTTCAAGGCGCTAATCGAGCTGGAGGGTGCCGGAATGCTGCCTTCATCTCAAGAAGAGGCTGCCGGGCTGGCCGATACGATAAGACGCAGGGGTCCCCAGGATACGGTCACCGCGGTGCTGCCCCACGTGAGAATTGCCCATCGCTTTCCTTGTTGGTTTTCTATTATACATGTTTTCCTTGTTATTTCGCAGCTGGTGTGGCGCCGCTGCGGCGATTTGGCGTGGTTTTCGTCGCTAGTCTGATTCGCGTTGCAAGGATCAATGCCTCAGTTTCGTCTTTGTTCGGAAGAGCGGCAAGCGCTGCAAGCGCCGCTTTTGATTCGCTGCCCCCACCCTGGAAACAAACATGTCCTTGTTCAGGCCCTGGAGAACGGCATGCAGTGCGTCAGGCACCATCACTTGGAGGTTAAGCGCGAGTTGCACGGAGGGGGTACCGGCGGTAGGATCGACGGTCAACAGTGGATAGCATCCAGAGAGAAGGTCAGATAACTCTCTATCGTCCTTACGGCAGTAGTAATACCGTGTCGCCAAGACACGGTTTTCCCTCCAAGTTAACCATCTTCATCAAATGTTAGCCTTCGTGAAATAATTGGTGTACTCTTTGTCTGTCACCAGTGTGTGAGCGACATGGGAGATGATGTGCATGACGCTTGTGTCCTATCCTAACTGTAACCCTAATGAGCCCCCCTTTTTCTGGAATCCTCCGCGGCAGAGATTGGCGGAGCTAGAGGCGAAGGGTCGCGCGATGGTAGGGTTTGCGGGAAGATTGTCCGACATGCTACCGGCGAGTTTCGTGGCTGATCTCAGCAGAGTCGAGGCGAACATCATCAACTGAGGACAAGGAAGGATAAGGATGAATGTATTTCGGATGTCATCGAGGAGGGCGACATTACAAGTAAACGTCACCCTCTCCACCTCCCCTGCACTGACTGTATCATAGAGTAGTCCACGTGGGATTAAACAGGAGCGGTGTTTAGGTGCCGGTGTGCTAGATTGGATGTGGCTGGGCCCCCTCTACAGTTTGTGGTGAAACTTCCTCTTGTCGGCGGCGAGCTTGGCTACCCTCGGAATTCATTCCCTACAGGATATGGAAAGGGGGTTAGGGGTTTTGATTGGCGCCTTTTCGGGCCTCCGAGATCGATTCGGGAAATGTGCTCGACCCGCAATTTTCATGGCTCCAAAGACGATTTACGTTACTGAAGAGTTCCACCGCGAACAATTTGCAGCTGTACAAGCATAGTAGTAGCACGTGTTTGAGATCGATTGGGGCGGATGGCGATCGCGTATAGTTGGCAGCGTCTTTCTCATGAGGGTTCTGGCTGTGAAATACTTCAAGCGCTAGGTTATTGCCAAGTGCAAACCGTGTTGGTAGATGTTGAATGGTTTTGTGAGTCTTGAGCTGTTCATCCCGTTCAACGACGTGTCATGTCGATGGCAACGGGTGGACACGCGAATGGTCGGGTACTGTAGAAAGGCTGTGCAGTAGGTATTGTCGTAAGGATTTACTGAAGTATTGTTGTCCTAACGCCACGATATTGCGTTTCTGACGCATCCCGTTTGCACGGTGTTGAGCAAAGACCTCGATCCTTCTTCCCCTTTCATACCCTTTACAAGTAACACCGGCACCAAGTCGGTCCTAGATTTTTCCGAAGGTTTGACGACGTTTGATTGTGACCCATTTGATTATTTTCTGGGTACAGTGTTGCCGGCGGCGTGTGGTCAGCTTGTAAAGCAAGTGTGTCTGCCCGTGGGCTCAAGCGTTTTAGTAAATGACCGATACAGCTCCAAAACTGGTGATCTCGACTACGGCTACGCCGTTCACTCAAATCGTTGATGAAGCGTGCGAACCAGCTGATGGTTGGTACTGTACCATATCCCAACCTCCAATTGCGGGCCCTCGCGACTCTCAACCCAACAAACGCTACGAAGTGTGCATACGTGCACAAACGTTCGTTGTCCGTCCGCAGCGTCCCCGCCTATATCACAGAAATTCCAGCACCGTGTTGAACATTTCCTTCTCTTTCATGGTCACCAACTTCATCATCAAGGCGCGCAGACTCTCCTGGTCAAGCTGCTTCTTGTAAAGAATGGCCGCGCGGCGATAACACTTAGACTGGTCAGCACGAGCTCCAAAGAGAACTGCCAGCAACTGCCTGCTATGAAAGTTGTACAAGAATATGCTTGGGGACACAAGAGCACCGTTCGCTGCACGTAGGGTCTCCCACACTTCCTACAGTTTTCCCAAACGACCCATGGACCGCGTATGGGCACCCCGTTAGGCCCATGGGCAGTCAATGGGTCACCCATGGGTCACCCATGGGCATGCCCATGCCCATGAGCATTGGCATGAGCATGGGCAGCCCATATGGGCTGCCCATGGGTACCCCGTGGGCGGCCCATGGGCGGGCCAACGAGAGCCCTTCACCCAACCAGTGTATTCCCAAGCAATAGAAGATAATCTGCTTTGCAACGGGCACTATAGCGGCAAATAACCCTGACGCTAACCGTAACCTTAACCCCAAGCCCACACGATACGTGCTAGGTTTGGGCTGGTGGCAAAGTTCTAGGTTGGTGTGAAGATGGCTAACTTCTAGGTTGATATCCCGGTGGTATTTAGATTGTGAAGGCGTTGCCAAGTCAGCTTGGGTGTCTGTGTGGATAAACAAACACGATTGTTTAGTCGATGGTAGAGTGAAGGGATCGTTCCAATCGAGTCTGGTTGATGGCCGCCAATTGGTCTTCTCGAGAAGGACTAAACCCGTTGCCTATCATCCCCGATCTTCTTCCAGCTGTTGGAGTTGTACTGTAGGAACAAACATCTGGTTGGGTTCACGTCCCTGTGTCTAGTAGACTAGCTCTGTAATCTACAAGAGAATCCATCATAATCAAAGAAGCTGCTGTAGTTCTTGCCATCCCTCAACACTAATTGAGAACAAGGGGGGGGGGGGGGGGGGGGGGCCCCCCCTTTTGGGGAAATCGGGATTAAAACCCCCCCCCGGTGGGTACCGGGGGTTTTTTGGGAAAAAAAAACCCCTTTTTCCCCCCCCTCCTAGGAAAAAGGGGGGGAAATTCCCCCCCGCCCCGGTTTGGGGACAAAAACCAAAAAACAAAAACCGAAACCCCCGGGGTTTTTAAAACCCCCCCCCCCTTTTTTGGTTCCCCCACCCAAAAAAACCCGAAAAAAAAAGGGGAAAAG